TTCAAGCCCAAACGGCTTTCAACAAACATATGCGTACATGGCCCAGGGGTGGGTGCCTCAAGCTGAGTTCGCACGGAACTACAATACTGATGCCCCGTAAACGGAAAACTGTTCCACCACTTGCCAAGCGTGAAATGTCCGTCAGCAATGCACAACAACTCCATCTGTGGCAGAAAGCCCCAAAACACATGCTTCGACATGTCTTCCGGCACCGTGTCTTAACGTCCTCCACCAGTATGTTGCATGTTGCAAGGTGTAAACTGCAGAGATCCGGCATGATTCATCTCAGCTGACATCCGCAAGAACACCTTTTGGCATCACTCGTATGGACTATTAGACAGTTCCCACGAGCACCCAGGCACAGCTGCCTTGCACCGGAAGAGTCTCAAGCTCTGCATGAGCAGCACCCAAAACCCATTGATTTCTGGCTCTAAGTTGGCTCTGGAAGAATGTGCAGCTTGCTACCCTCATAAAACCACACACTAGAACTATCCGCCAGAATGGCTCATGGAGTTTTGGGCGCCGCAAAAAAGTGCCCTCTGCCAGTGTGGCGAGTGGCAGTGCTGCCTCTGCATCTTGCTTGAGGAAAAACGGTGCGCAAAAAAGGGCAGCTTGCCCAAAAAGATTGAACTCGCAGTGAAGTTACCCACTTGGCGCTTTGGATTGGAGCCGGACGGACTAAATTTCCCCACATTAGCCATCAGGCATCATTCCAAGGCGCCCATTGGAAACCTCAGAGGACTTATGCCAAGCGCACGTAGTTGTGCTGTGGCTAATGTCACCCTTGACACGTCTACCGGCGCCGGCCTAAGAAAGGCAGCGAGGAACTCCATACCAAGCGGGGCACCGGTGTCCAATTGTCAATCAGGATTAGTTGAAAGGCTCACAGAGTAAGCCAACTAAAAGTCCACAATTACACCAGAGAAAGTTGGCACAATTCCCACCTACATATGGCTAAGTGGCGGATATGACAAACGCCAAATGGGGGGAATGATGCCAATGTTCGCGCTCTGAGAAGACTCGATCCCCTACAAAAAAATGAGGCGACGCTCCAAGCCTTCGGCCCGGGCGGGCTCGTCTTTCGCCAGAGCTGGAAACCGGGTTCTGAGCTTCCGCAGGCGCAAGCGCTCCTTCACCACCTATCGGGGGAGAGTCTTCGGCCAGGCTGCTGATTTCCCACCCCACTCGGATGTTGTTTTTTTCCGTCCTGGCTACTAAAATGCTGTAATTTACGGCATTGTCTCGCGAAATGTACGTATTTTACGCTGGTCCGTCAACATCATCAGCATCGTTTTCAACATCCCCCGCATGTTCAGCCAACATCCCCAGCATCACCAGCAAATGGTTGGTTCAGCATCATCAGTTCCTCTCCGGCAAGGTAGGTAGGCATTTATGTATGCATGTTAAAAAGAGGGGCGGGTCCCCCTCATGGTGGTAAAAGTGAGGATTCATACCCCCCATAATGATTGAAAAAGTGCCAAAAATCCAAAAAGTAGCAGGAGGGTTGGGGGGGGGGGGGGAAAAAGATGTAAAAAAAGGCCTTGGTCCCGTGGGGTTTGGCGGGGTGTTTATTGTTCTTTGTCTCTTTTGGGTTTTTTGTTTTTTAGGGGGTGGGGGGTAGATGGTTGCCTGTTCTGTTTTCTTTTTCACAATTCAACACGTGTACCACCTTATCCGTTTTTTCAAGGCTGATTTTGGGGGCATGAAATAACGATATGGATGTGGCAACGAATTGATGATTTGGTCCCCTGTCTCGTTCCAGATTTCAACTTTTAGTTTTATTGATTGAAAGAGGATAGGACTTTCTGTGGTTTCACGGGTTGGCTTTTGGGCGGGTCTTCTGGTTTGATGAGAGAGAAGCATGACTCATCCAAGCCTTCGATTGAGATTCTTGTTGCTCGCTGTTTCGTCAAGTCAGGTTTGTAGTTTCGACTCATCTTTGACCCTGTTCTGTGCCTTGTCCTTTTCCGATGGCTCCTAAGAAGGTCATCAGTGAGGCGGCAAAGGCACGTGCCCAGACACGCGTCAAAGCGAAGGCGTTCGCCTCTGCTTACGTTGGCGCTGAAGCACCTCCAGCACCATGGGTGGGGACTACAGACGATTACATTACCCAGATGGTTGCGACCGAAGATGTGCTCTCCTCTGTGGCGATGTCTTCCACGGAGACCATCCAGAACATCATCCCTGCTCTCTCCGATAAGATTGCAAAGCAGACTGAGGTTCTCAATGCTTGTCAAATGATTGTCAAGACACGCGAGCTCGCCCTCCAGAAGCAACAGAAACCACAAGTTGAGAAGCCGACCAAGATGGAGAAGTACAAAGGCAAAATGGTCATCTTCGTGAATACTCCGTCTGGGCAACGCATCAAGATTGCCGTGTCACGTGCCAAGTCGCTGGCATTCTTCAAGGAGCGTGTCGGTGAGAAGACCAAAGAGTTTGGCAGCAGCTCCTCGATGTTCAAGAGCATTGCCATTGTCAAGAACAGCAAGTTCCTGAACAACCACCCGCGTGGCATGATCGTGAATATGTTGGAGGACGGTTGTGAGGTTGATGTGATGTGGTATGATGACCTTCCCGATGATGCTTTCCCAGATGGTGAGGAGATGGCTCCGAATGACACCGACGCTCTGACCAGCGATGAGGAGTCGGAGGAGAACATTGATGAGCAGTGAAGATAGATGTATCAAGATGTTGTCAACGGGTTGACACGGCATACATACAGTACAGACTTCAGATTGCACCCTTTGCCAAGTGATTGAAAAAAAGGAGGATGACTCTTGCATTATGGCTTGAAGTGAGCTTCGGTATTGTGTCGCTTGTGTGCGAGCTTAGACACTGCTATGCTTGAACCTTGAGTATTTGCTTGAAAGCATGTCTTGCCTTTGCAGACGTTTTGGGTCTTTTGTTTCTTACCTTTGCCCTCATTTCCCTCCCTGTGCTTGTGTACCAATGTGCCCTCATTTCCCTCCCTGTGCTTGTGTACCAATGTCGTCCCGAAAGCCCATCATCAAGAATATGAAGAAGGATGAAGCTGTCAAAGCTTTGATTTCAAAGACGTCGGCTTCGGTGAAGAAGTGCTTCGGTGAGTTTGAACCTCCTCAAATCACCCCTCGTCTTCTTCAACCAGTTTTAGAACCAATCAACGAGGTTGTGAACGAAGTCAAGAACAAGCTGCGTGATGGTGAGCCAGTGATTGAGCAAGCTGTCAAGAATCTCTCTGACAGTCAGCTTCAATCCCTTCAGTCCATATTCGAACGCAAAGTGGGTGTGCCGACAGAGCAGAAGCTGATACAAACAGCCTTTGCTGTCCTCCCTGAACTAAACTTCATCGAGGAGTGCGTCCCATGCTTGGAGGAGATGCGGTTGAAGTTGCTTGCCACGTTTGTGGAAGCCTATGGAGTTGAGTTCAATCAACAAAAAGGAGCAGAACGGGTCTTCTCCAACGACAAGTTTGTCAGCTTAGTCAGCAGGGAGATGTCGTTCAGGGAGGGTCTTCGTCGTGCAAGCCAACAAGGTGAACCTTCTGCGGACCAAGAACGACCAAGTGAGAGCAATTGTTCAATTGTGTAAAGCGGTGTGTCTCAATATTCTGTTTTCAGGGTGTTTACAACGATTACCTTCAATAGTCAACCCTCACAATAGTCAAACCTCACTATTGCCAATTGCCAATTGTCAGTTCCACTATTGCCAATTGTCAGTTCCACTATTGCCAATTGTCAGTTCCCACTATTGCCAATTGTCAGTTCCCACTATTGTCATTTGTCAGTACCCTCAATTCAACGCTTTCAGTTTGGTGTATTGAGACACTATCCAAACGTTTAGAAGGTTGTACTCAGCACAGCATAAACCAACCTTCCCTTCTGATGTGTCACAATTTGGGCTGAGCGACCATCTCGCTCGTCGGGGCATACGAGCTGTTGTTGTTTTTTTGTCTTTCTCTCCGCTGTGAAGGTTGCCTTGGGTAGACAACCTTCACTCACTTTGTCGCCTTTTGGAAGGGCGACACTGAAGGTGTCAATATACCTCATCAACCGCCATTTGAAAATGACAGGGACAAAATTGCATACCTCTCATTTTCGTGCAGGACGGGGTTTTATGCGATGTCTGCTTGTCATGTGAGGGATTGCTATGCTCACGGTCGGCATTTTGTCAGTTTGGTAGTTTCACCCTTGTCATCCAACCACTCCTGAGCCATGATGATTGACGCGAGCACGCAAACCAACGAGGACATGAAGCACATGGTCAAGTTGGAACATAGTGTGGCGGCTTTGCAGTTTGTCGTCAAGAACGGTTGGTCACAGAACCCCGTTCTGCCAGATGGTGAGGACGGTCTTCCGTTTGTCTTCACGCAGTGCTCGATGCAAGAACTCATCTATACCGAGCACTTCTTCCACTTTGACATGGTGAGGGACATCCCCAAAAATCGCTGGGAAACCATCAAGGCTGAGTGGTCTTTGAGACAAGACAACACTCCTCACTGGTGTCGCGGAGACATCGATGATGCTCGCCACATGCTCAAAGATTGCTGTTTTATTATCCTAGGCTTCCCCGTGCTTGTGCTTCGCCAACGAGGTTCAGGTCGTGTGGAGAAGTTTGTCATCTATGTCAGTGTGGGCACGCACAGGCAGGTCTACCACATCACAGCGTCTGACCTGCAGGATGCCTACTGGAATGAACATTCGACTACGATGAGGAAAAATGGTTGGAGAAAGCGAGAAACAGCTTTTCGCTGGATTTCATGGCAAGACTATGACGGAGGGCTACGTGGGCTTGCGATGGAGGGCGAAGAAGACCTCCACCAACATCTTGAGCAGACGGAACAGGACTTCCTACCTCTGGATGAAGCCATCGGGGAAGAGCTCTTCTATCAGCCGGTGGAGGTGGTTTACCAAGACCATGGAGATGACTACTTGGACTCCGACATGAGCGAACCAGAGAGTAATGAGAGCTCTAATTCTGAGTGAGACGAGTGTCTCGTTTGTGCTCATAGCACGATGCAAGACGACTGAACAGGTCATGCCCGTGCTTGACATACCATGCGTTGGTTTTAGACAAGTGAAAATGAATGATGCTGAGCAGGGTCTTTCTGTTTCCTTGTTTTCCCTCTACCCATGGGTGGATTATTGGACACGGCTGTTTGATGAAACGGAGACCCTTTTGATGTTATACCTCATCCCGTGTCCAATAATTGCCCAAACACCCCCTCAAAGGCAACAGGCATCAACGTAGGGAACACACAGGCAGGTCTGACGGTTGCTCAACGAGATGAATTACCCAAACCCCAAATAGGAAAGCAACCGTCAGTGCTGATTTGATTGGTCGATGCAGAGAATATGCTAGTGTTGCATCTCACACGCTTCTAATGGCGGTTTTCCTCAACCCTCACATTTGTTGAATCACTTATCCAAGGTGGCAGGGAGCGAATGGTGGCTGATGATTACGTATACCTGCCAAGACCTTGGATAAGAGATTACCTCAGCTGGTGTTTTCATAAGGCTGACGCCTACGATGCTGTTCTTGACGCTGTTGATGCTGGTTGCTGGTGATGCTGGACAACTAAATAATTCTAATAATTTCATATTATTAGAATTATTTAGATATGCATTTTATGGAAAAGTGCCCATACGGGATTGAATTGAAAGCATCAATATAAAACCTTTTATTTTCATAATTACTGAGTGATTGCTTGACTTGAGACATTGAATATATTTGATGTGTTTTGCTCCTGATGAAGTTGTAGGAGATTTCGTGCTTTTTGTTGTGATGCGGTGCTTCATGATAGTTTTGATATGTTAATTCCTTTTTAACCTTGTGCTTGACTACACCTTTGGATTTCTTGTGTTCCTCATCCTCGCCGTGGATTGTGAAAGCGTAGGATTTAGGCTTCAACCCGATAAATCTAGTAATGATTTTACCGTTGACTTCATCTTTGTACATTCCTAAGACCTTCTTATTTGTTGTGTCATGGCATGGATGTTCAACAGGATAATCACTAAAATCCATATGTTGCTTGATACCTTGAAAATCCTTGTAGACATCATCAGTGAAGGTTTGAATTACATAACTGTCAGTATCGGTATATATCAATTTGATATTTTCGTTGTATTTCTTTTTCAACACACCATAGTAAAACTCATACATATGTAATTTACTCAAATCCAAAATTGTCATTCCTAAGAATATGGGTTTATCCAATTTCAGTTTGGCTTTAGTTTTCTCCACTCCTACCAGATTTTCGTTTATGATAAATCTATTTTTGAATGTGGGATTATTCACACATTTTTCATATCTAACATCATTATCTACCAGTTCAAAATCCATATGTTTTCTTTTGTCCTCCATCGTTTTCCATACACCGCGTTATTCATTAATTTAAACAAATCCTTCTCAAAGTCGCTCTTCGCTTCTTTCCTCTTACCAGTGTTGAAGTCAATCCACGGTTTCAACCACGCCCTCTGTTGAAATTTTATTATCCTATGAACCTTGGTGAGTTTCATACCCATTTTTAGATAATACTGTAAAGTCTTGATATGAACAACATACTTTTCTTTATCTTTCAAATTTAATATTAACTTGCTGGTTTTCTCGTCCTTCGGTTCTTTGTTTCCATAGTAGATTTTGAAGATGTCTTTTTGATAGTCTGAAAGCATGTTAGCATTGACATTCATGATTTCAGGTGCTAGTGGATAGTCCGAATGGTAGTCGTGTAGTGTTTCTGGATAATCCAAATCCACTTCAAGGATGAAACCGTACTCATCTTTTTCATCCCACTTTTCAACGTTAGGTGTTTTCTTTGTCCATTTGATGTCCTTTAAAGGAAATTTTTGAGACATCGCCAGACCATACAGATTGTTAGCATCTAAGTAATTGATATAATTTGATGGCTTGCTTTCATCGAAGGCTTCATCCATATACTTATTGTTTGCCTCAGCCAGTGTATGACTGACCTGACACATACCTCCTCTCATTCCCTTTTCAACCATCTCATACATTTCTTTATCGTGCAACTGCTCAATTTCAACACCAGTTTTCAACAACATAGCTTCCCAAGCGAAGTTAGGAAGCGTATAATAGTGTGCGGGGTCCAAACCGTAGTATTCCATACATAAGTCTCTAAAATTTTCAAAAACATCAGTCAATAATAAAACATCGGTTCTCAAATACAAATCGTGATATTGTCCTAATGTTCTAATACCGAAGTGTTTCCAAACCTTTTGTGCCCTTTCATAATCTTTGACATTGACATGTTCCTCACTTAATTTACTGTAGAACGCTTCTTTTGGCGGTAAGTTTCTTTCAGTAAATCTGTCAAAACTATCAAAATAGTCATAAGGATAAATCCCCTTATCAGTCAACAAGTCCAAATCTTCATCGGTTTTAACATATGGATTTCTAACATTACATCCAAAATTGTTCTTCCAGTTCTCACGCCTTTTGTCATCTTCATACTTACTCAACTTTACCAACTTATCCAACGAAGACGATAAGAAGCTAAAACTGTCCTTGAAACAAAGGTTTTTAAAACCAAAGGTTATGAACTTCTCGCTTTTCTGTGCGACGCAATCGATTTTAGCATTCTTGCTCAGTTCGTGTGCCTTGTTGATGATTAAGTGAGCGTCATAGTTTTTAAGGTTATGAAGGAAGACTGGTATTTTATAATATATCATACTAA